GCTTTCCTTACTGCATGCCTCTGGTTAGTGCTTGGCAAACTTTAATAGCAGAAACCTATAACTCATTCCTTTTGACAATACAGATTAATACTGTAGCAATTTATCGTACTTTACATGGTGCATATAAGGTATTTGATTCCCATGCTAGAGATTCATTTGGTTTGGCCCATCCTCAAGGAACTTGTGTTTTATTGCATTTCCAGGAAATGAATAAATTAGTGGAATATTTTCAGAGTTTATATACTAATGATGCCATATTTGAGCTGAAAGGTTTAAACATTTCTGTATCAGAAATTGGAGTTCATGATCATAACAAGCCATTTTCATCAGAAGATCAAAATGTAACTTGTCAGACAGCTGCTGTTAATGAAGATATCACTATGGAAATTGATGCAAATATTAGTCTTTTAAAAAAGAGTTGTGCCATATGCTTTTATTGTGTTTGTTTTTCAATTATTAAACCATGTAGTTATTGGAAGTCATTTACATTAGAAGCTGTTGTTGAACATGGAAATATATTTTATAAAGAAAACCTTGACACCAGTAACCAGTTCACAATTGATGGGTTACCACTTAGGCTTAAGATCTATGATGCTGATGTAGATGTGAAATACAGTTCAAAACATCAAGGAATCTTTTCATGTAGTTCTTTGTCCAGCAAACTAGTACTTCAGAGGTTAATTTTAGACAACAAAAATGTGAATACTGGATTTCTTCTATGGCTCTCTGGTTACTGTCTAAGTTGTGTAATTTGCCATACTGGCCGTGTTGCTGCTAAAACAAAGACAAAATATTTTGTAATGGAATTCCATGAAAATCAAGGACTTCAGGTACTTGAACATAATCATGTAGATTCCCTTATTGAAACTTTGTGTAAAATTGTAACAAAAAAATTCAACTGTCAAGAAATAGAGTACTGTATTCAATTTCTATTGTGTACGTCGCAAATTACCAACACTGAAAGGCAAAGGATCATGAAAAAGCATAAGACAACTTCACAGAAAAAGTTTACTGCAAACAAATGCAAAAAGAACTATGGTCAAATGGAACCTCCTAAGAAAAAAGCCCACTTAGAACAAAAAGCTGCATATTACAAAAATGTGTTCTGTAAAAAGAGGAAAGGAACCAAAATAAACAAACCTTGCAATAAAAGAGCCAAACAAGTTCCAAAACATCAGAATAAAACCTCTCACAATGACTTGAATCATTTTATTTCAATCTTTCATAAAAAGATTATGGAAGGTCCATTCTACACATGTACTGTATGCAATAGACTACTTTATAGAAAATCAGTTACTCAAGTAAAGGAAGCCAAATATAGCACTCGCTTTCTTTTAACAAATAAGAAGTCATTTGATAAAAAGGAATACATTTGCAAAACATGTGACTTGAAGGTTTCAAAAGGGCAAGTTCCATGTCAAGCTGTGTACAATAAACTGCTTGTTGATGAAATCCCTGCAGAACTTGAGTCTCTAGAAAAGCTTGAACAGATCCTTATAGCACAGCGCATTGTATTCGAGAAAATAGTAGTAATGCCAAAAGGCCAACAACGAAAAATTAAAGGAGCTATCTGTAATGTGCCTGTTAATTGTGAACAGACATCCAATATTTTACCACGTCCTCCAGAAAGTTCAGGCATAATTATGTTGAAACTTAAAAGGAAACTCCAGTTCAGAGGTCATGTCTACTTTCAAGCAGTGCGACCCGAGTTTATTGTCAATGCCCTTATGTGGCTTAGGATGAATAATCCATTGTACAGCAATATAGTAACATGCATTGAAAATATTGACCCAAGTCTAACAAAATTTCAAGACTGTGAAATACATGTAAATGCAGGTATATGTACTGACAATGAAATATGCTCTTCAAATCATAACTCTTGTGAACAAGACACAATACAATCTGGTGATGACAATGAAGAAGAAAAAGACGACCCTTTGAATGAATTTAGAGCACCAATTAATCAAACATGCCTACAGTCTGTTATACCAGATTATCCTGTAACTGTAGAGCTAAATAGTAATAATTCATCAGGAAATGAAGTTTACAATATTGCACCTGGTGAAAATAAACATCCGGTGTCCTTTATGAGTGACAAACAATGTGAGGAGCTGGCATTTCCAGTATTGTTTCCTAAAGGAAGATTTGGCTATAAAGTTGAACGAGAGGTTAAATTGTCACCAGTAAAATACTTTAATGCAAGACTGTTACATTGTAGCGGCAGATTTGCAACAAATCCAGAATATCTATTCTTTGCACAGTTCATAATAGAACAGAAGAAAATTTCAGATAGTATTAATATTGCTCTAACAAAAGTTCACGGACAGCCTATTACAGCATCTCATTTAAGATCAAATACACAAAGTTTGCAAAATCTTATTTGTCAAGATCAGGCTTATTTATTTTTAAGACAAATTCCAGGTACACCACCTTACTGGCAAAAATTCATGTATGAAGTAGTAGCAATGGTAAAGCAGCTTGGTATTCCATCATGGTTTATGACATTATCTTGTGCAGATCTTCGATGGTCTGAGCTTTTTCACATTATTGCTAGGACAAAAGGAATGAATTTAACTGATGAACAAGTTGAAGCCTTGTCTTATAATGAAAGATGTTCTATGCTTAATCTTAATCCTGTTATCACTGCTAAGCATTTTCAGTACAAGGTTGAAACATTTTTCACAGAGGTTCTTCTCACCAGTGCAAACCCCATTGGTAAAATTGTTTATTATGCTCTTCGTATTGAGTTTCAAATGAGAGGCTCTCCTCACTTACATGCACTAATATGGACTTCAGACTGTCCAAAACTGACACATGAAAACAAACAAGATTACATAGAATTTATTGATAAGCATGTCCACGCATACATTCCAAATAGAGAAACCGACCCTCAATTACATGAATTGGTTGAAACATATCAAAACCACAACCACTCTAAAACATGTCGAAAATACAGGAATATTCCTTGCAGATTCAATTTTGGACAGTTTTTCACCAAGAGTACAATTGTAGCAGAACCCCTTTCTGATAATCTACCTGAAGATGTCAAAAGTAATGCTCTAACCAGACAAAAGGAAATTCTTAATTTAGTCAAAGAAAAAATAGATAATGTTCTAAACCCCAATAAACCAGATTATGATCCAAAATTAACTGAAACAGATATTTTTAGTTCTTTAGGTATTTCTGAGGAGCAGTATTACTGGGCATTGTCTATATCAGGCGATTCTTATTATGATTTGCATCTGAAGAGGCCAATAGACAGCTGTTTTATTAATAACTACTTTGTTGCTGGTATTAAGGGCTTTCAAGCAAATGTTGACTTACAACCTGTTTTTAATCACTACAAGTGCGTAACATATGTCTGCTCATACTTCACAAAGGATGAAACTGAATGTTCACAAGCAATCATGATTGCAGCAAAAGAGGCCAAAACTGCTAATTTAAATGTTAAAGATGGCTTGAGAAAAATTGGTGCTGCTTTCCTCTCTTCTAGAGAAGTCAGTTCACAAGAATGTGTATACAGATGTATGCCAGAACTTTGGTTGAGAAAAATATTTCCCAAAACAGTTTTTATCAGTACTGATTTACCACAAAAAAGAGTACGCATCGCTAAGACCCAACAAGAACTTGATGCATTAGACGAAGACAGTACAGATATCTACAAGTCTAATATAATTGAGCGTTACATCATAAAACCAAAATCTGTTTCTACTGTTGATAACCTATGTTTAGCAGAATTTGCTTCACACTATTATAAATACTACAAAAAAGAATGTTCTGAGACAGCTGATGCCCAGCCAGATGTTCTCACGGACAATGTGCTTGAATCTCAAAGTGAAACTTTAAATACTAATGCAGTCCTCCCAACACAAATTAGGTTGATGAATACCAATGAAGTCATGAAATGTAGGAAAACTAGGGCTGTTGTAAGATTTCATACACCAAATAAAATTAAAGAGCCTGAGAACTATTTCCATCACTTACTAATGCTCTATTTTCCATGGAGAGAGGAGAATAGTTTGCTTGGCAAAGAACAAACATATGCATCAAAATTCTATGAACCTGCAGTGCAAGCTGTTGTAGAATCCACTAGAGCAATATTTGAACCTAATGCTGATGCTGTCTCAGAAGCACTTGAATCACTGAAGAACAATCAGGGCAATATCATACGATCATATGATTCTATGAATGATCAAGAAAATGCAGATTTGCATTCAGACATGCCAGATGACTCTTTTCCAGAAGAATCATTCAATGAACAGCAGCCTTCACATCTTTCATCTGGAAATGAATCTGATCACCAAAGTACACTTCCCACAATAACAGTAAACAACCAACCAACAGATGTGTCTGATGACTTTCTGTGTCAGTCTGTAAGATCATTAAACAAAACGCAACGTTATGCATATGACACAGTTCTGTCTTGGTGCAGAAGTAAAATTAAAAATATGAACAGTCTAAAGCCTGAAGAAGTTAAACCAATATATCTCTTTATAACTGGTGGTGCAGGCGCTGGAAAAAGTCACTTGATAAAAACAATATATCACACTGCAGCTAAAATTTTTCGACATGCTTGTAAGAACCCTGAACTACCAACAGTGCTTTTAATGGCTCCAACAGGAGTATCTGCTATTAATATCAATGGCACGACAATAAATACAGCTCTGGCAATTCCTCAGCAAACAAGTGACAATCTACCTGCAATGTCAGACCAAAAGAAGACTCAATTAAGACTGTCGTTTTCAGAACTAAAGCTTATTATTATAGATGAAATTTCTATGGTTGGGAACATTACTTTGCTTCACATACATCAAAGACTACAACAAGTTTTTGGCACAGGTAACTTGCAATTGTTTGCTGGCATAAGTATCATTGCTGTAGGTGATCTGTATCAGCTGCCACCAATACGAAGGAAACTGGTTTTTCAAAACTACAAAAATGACACTCATAATCTGTATCACCCATGGCAAGTTTTCACAATGATAGAACTAACTGAAATTATGAGTCAAAAAGATGATCAGCCATTTACTGAGCTATTAAACAGAATTAGGACTGGTACTCACACTGAAGAAGATGTCAAGTGCATTAATTCAAGATCAGTCAGTCCATCAGATGATAATTACCCTTCAGATGCACTTCACATTTGGGCTGAAAATAACCCTGTTTCTGAACACAACAACAAACAACTAGACCAAATTTCAAAACCTTTGTTTGTACTCACAGCTGTAGATCAGTATCCACCTAACGTCACAAAACAAGATATTGACAGGTTGTTATGTAGAGGGAGATCTGAAACAGGCAGACTTGATTTTGAAATCCACATTAAAGAAGGTGCAAGAGTAATGCTTACAACTAACATCGATATTGCAGATAGACTTATAAATGGTCAGATAGGAAGTGTTGCAAAAATTATTGTTAATCAAGATAATCAAAAACCAACAGTTATCTTTGTAAAATTTGATGACCATAATGCTGGGAATATTTCAATACAAAAATGTGGAAATCTGTTTGCTAGACAAAACAGAGCAGTACCCATTCAACCAGTTGTAACAAAAATCAAAGTCAGGCCAGGTAAACCATCCTCTCCAGAAATACAAAGGATACAGTTTCCTATCACACTGGCATGGGCATGCACTGTGCACAAAGTGCAAGGTTTGACACTTGATAAAGTTGTTATTAGTTTTAACTTGAATAGACAAAGAAGTTTTAACTATGGACAAGTTTATGTTGCATTAAGTCGTTCAACTTCCTTACAAGGACTTTACATTCTGGGGCAAATAGATAGTAAAAATGTAAGAGCAGACTCTAGAGTCCATGATGAATATGAAAGATTGCGAAATAATTCATCAAAAAGTATGCAGCAAACAAATAAACCAATCCAAACTATTCAGGAAAATAGCTCAAATTTAACTTTATCCCTTCTAAATATACGATCTCTTAGAAAACACAGTATTGACATCAAGCTTGATACAAATATTTTCAGTAGTGATGTTATAGCTCTGACAGAAACACAACTTCTTCCTCAAGACACAGACCACAATATTAGAAATGACTTGAATCCCTTTACACTGTACAGGCAAGATCATATTTCTGATAAATACTCAAGTTTAGCACTCTGTACCAAAAATAACATTGAAATTACAGAACAAGAGTATTTCCCTTCAGTAAATGCACTAAAATTTGTTGCTACCAATACTTCTATCCAGCAACAGCTCTCCTTTCTTCTATTATATAGACAACACAGCTCTAATGTTTTACAATTTATAATCCTATTGACCTCGTACTTGGAGACTTCAACATAAATTACTTCAATGAGAAAGAAAATTGGCCACTTGAATGCTTGATGCACTCTTTAAACTATGAACAAATTGTACAAACTCCCACATTTATTTCTGCAGGAACATTGTTAGACCATATTTACATGAAGCCAACAGCTTTTGATATAATCCACAATGATGTAATTAGTGTTTATTATTCAGACCATGATGCAGTTAAAGTATCATTGCAATTGTAACTTACAATAATTTATTATAATTAAAACCACGATATTGTTGTTTTACTTTAATTTTGTATTTAAGCTGATTTTCCAAATCACCAGATTACAATGATACACATCAACTGCGATGCCTAGATTGCCAATTATGGGGAAACTACTGAACTCAACTGATATTGTAACAAAGCTGTTCCAAACAAAAATACTATAAATCTCAAGAATGATATAAATATGTTGGGAATAGGCCATTATATTTTCCACTGGGGAGAGTTTAGGCAATAACCCCAAATTCCCCCCCCCCCCCCAAAAAAAAAAACCAAACAAAAAAAAAACTGATAGTGTTCCCTTCAAATCTAAAATGTTATTGTTGAGCAATTTTTAAAGTTATTACTACTTAAAGTGGTTGTAACAAACACCCTGCTAAATATGATACAGCAGCAAAAACAAGCACCCTTCTCCAAATCAATATGGTATATTCCTAATGGTGATTATATAACACTTCCATTTAATTGTGACATACTGTAGAAATATTTCATGTTAAATACAAAACATTGGGACCCTTAGCACCTTTGTGGTGCTGCTATCCTTCAAGTGCCAAAAAGGTGGGTTGTTGCTTTTACTGCATGGCTCTGCCCTACTGGTTAAATTAGCACATTGCACTTTGGATTAAGCAGTCCTGGTTCAAGTGCTACCCAGCTGTTAAGTTCTTGGGCAACTACACCTAACACTCATAGTGCCTTCCTTCACCCAGGAGTTAAAATGGATACTACTGGCAACATTATGTAGACTATATCATCTAACTTACCTGTGACAATGATCTTGTTTTCTTTCCTATTTTTCAGATGTCATTAAGCAAACCAGTCACTATCGCTGACATCAAGTCTTCACCTGTCCCTAACTCTCCTCAACGATGTGCAAAGAAGCTCACATGTGCTGTCCTCAACAAAAGCCCACTAAGACCAATCAAAAATGGTTCTATGTTCTCCTTGAATCTATGTGATAAAGACCCATCATCCACAATCAGAGCCGTCTGTTTCAACACAGACCTGTTCTCCAACTTTGAAACGGATGTAACATATGATCTTGAATCGTTCAAGGTGAAGAAAGCATTTGGCAATTCGAGCTCCCTGGAACTACTACTTGACAACGACACCAAAGTTTCCACTGCAGCATCACAACTCAAGATCACAGACCATACTTTCAACATCTCCCAGATCCTTAGAAAGGAAACTGAGAATATCAGATTTATCAACCTGAAAGCAAAAGTAACAAGTATTGGGGATTCAATCTCGGTTGGCACATACCCCGACAACAAGTCAAAGAGAAGCATTTTCCTCGCAGACAATACTGGGCACATTGAACTTGTTTTGTGGAGAGAACGAGCAGAAACCATACAATTCAAAGAAGGCGATGTCCTCAGCCTGCAAAATGTGGTGTTGTTCACCTTCAATAACCAACTCAGTGTCACATCAACTTTTGAGACTGTCATTACAACACTAAATGAAGAAATGACAGTAGCCTCAACACAGCATCCACTGCCGAAATCCAATGTCGTCTCTCTTCAGACCTTCATTGTTGCTATCAAAGAATTTATCTGCACATACACCTGCATTGACTGCAGGAAACAGATCGACCCAGGCGCATCCATGGAGAGTCCAACAATAACATGTCCAACATGTTCTACCATGTTCTTAAAGGAAAGTACACAGATAAGCAACCACTGCATGGTCCGCCTAAACAACAAGCAATGGTTTTCGGCACATACAGGAGTAAGTGTCTATTTATTTATGTAAACGACAGTATTAGGTATCCCCCACTCATACACTTTATACCACTTGCAAAAATTTACATAATTTTCAAATTTCTAAAAACCCTGCACAAACACACTTTATAACACAACTAACACAGTTGACAGGGCTAATAATCATGAATCTATCTCCCCATATTAGGATTTTGTTCTTAATACTATAGTACACTATACTTGCAATGCACAGGGTTGGACATTAGCTAGCCCCCCCCCCCCCCCCCCCACTTGCCCAGACGAGTGTCAAAACATTTAAAGCAAATACAAATTTTAGATTTTTTATTGCATTACATATCATTAAAGACACTCGCCACTTGCTGTCAAAATTACGTGTAAGTTTCCATCCCTAATGATGCATTCTAACCATAATAACATCTTTTAGTACCCTCCTTCCAATAAGCACCCCCATTATGGAAGTACTTCCCCTTGACTGTCGTCTTGTTATTCCAATAACCAAAATGATTTACTACCATAAACGGACTGTCACTAGATTATGACATTTAATAACAACCATTCCTCAATCACAACATTTTATTTTATTTTCAGGTCATACAGCATCTCTTCAAATGGCAGGAGCCAAAACCCAAGCCAACAGAACAAGACATAGTAAATCTACTAAGCACTAAGTTCACACTGAGAGTGGATCTCGACCGAAAAATATTGGAACACGCTGCACCAGCAGACACCGACACTCACCCTGAGCCAGAAGAAGAAGAATCAAACTCCAAAAAAGTTAAAACAGCTTAAGTAACTTGATTTAGAACAGTGGTCTTGATTTTATTCTCTTAACACAGACACAAGATCATCTAATAACATGTTTGAATATCAAAGTACTTGGTTAATGTAAAGTATTTCGTTAATGCCTTACCAAATTGTTATCACATTTTATTTGTTGTTTTACAAGAGATTCATACATTTATAAAATGAAAAAAAAGTCAAAACAGCTTAAGTAACTTGATTTAGAAGTCAAGTTCATCCCGCTGACGGGAGTGGCCTGGTTTAGGTCACATGATCACTATTTGTATGCCCTTGATGTCACATATAAGCGGTGCATTTCTACAACACACTGCAGTGCATCCCTAGATGTTTGACTTTCTTATTCGGCTCGGTGTTTCACTTCAGTATTAACCCGAGCTAAATTTCAACTTAACCTATGTTGGGCTGCTTCTTGGCTGACAAGAGATGCTTAGGAAATTCAATTTTCCCGTGACCTGTTTTTATTCACTGGAAAAATAGTGGAGTCTTCTTGAAATTGAAACAAATTCAGCCTTGCTCCACAGCAGGGATCCCACGTATACTTTACGGAGATGATCAAGTGTATTTGATATAAACGACCATAAGTTTCGACTTTCAACTTTTGGCAATAGAAACGCAATCCATCGCTGCAATAGAAAATTGATTCATCTGAAGGGAAGCGAAACTAGCGAGGCGAACAAATCACGCGTAACGAGAGCGAGGTGCTTTGGTTGCAAATTTGAGAAGGTGAATATAAAATAGGGAACTGGAAACACACAAAGTCAAGTACAGCGGAATATAACTTTTTCAATACGACTCTCACTATGTGCTTTGGAAAACGCTTATAGAAAATGTCGAATTACGATGGTGGTTGAGTTATTTAGAGAAGTCGTGATTACGAACGCTTGCATTGCGTGATCACAAATAGATGATGAATTATTCAACCTATTATTCTCAGAGAGTAGACCAAACATAAAATTAACAGGATCTGTTCTTTTATCTTTGTCCTTCTTTTTCTTTTTAATTCTTTATTTCCTTCTATCTGTAAGTGTTTATCGTAAATCTAACGAGTGATACCAAACTCGTGGATGTGCAAAATGGAACGGAAAATAAATGATGATCTTACTGTGAATGAGGTAGTTTCAAGTGTCACTCATGTATTAAAGCTCTGGAAACCCATTTCTCTTTTCTCATTTCTCTCCTTATTCTATTTCATTTTTGTTTTTCAATCCAACCCAGTCATTCCCGTGTTTACTCTCCGTTTCCCGCTGCATGTCATAATTTTCCTATCAGTTATTCCACGTTTTCTTCGACCTTTGTATTCTCTGTTTATTTGATCTTAAAATGTACGTAAATTTTTATTGAAGTTTACCATCCCATTGACAAAACGTGTTCTTTCGGCTCTAACTTAATAATACAATATAATGTTATAAAAAGCTTATTCCTTGTAATTCCTCTTTGGTCACCCTAACAAATCTGAAGGATCCCTTATATCAGCGGTAGCAACAATATGAAAGTATTCTTAACTTGTCGCTTTGTTTCCATTTAATCAAAACTGGATTTATTATTATCAATGTCTGATATACATATGTAAGTATTTTTCAGATATTTCAGTTCGGAAACTTGTAACAAGAACAGTTACATGTAATCGTCATCGAAGCGGCCGACAGATGTATTAGTTTATATTTCAGGAAAAACGTATGTTTTTTTTCTAAAATAGTTCAAATAGTTGTTATGCTTTGATAACTACTGAATAGTTCCCTTAGGATGTTTACCACCGCTGATCGCAAATATTGTAAGAAATGTGATGGGAAACAAACCCAATTGAATATCGAGTAATACGAACGATGAAGTGACAATAACAATACCAGTCCTTCAGGAAAAAATCTATTTCGTTCCCACGATGGGAATTCAGACATGTCCAGACATGAATAATCCGTGCTGCTTGAATGAGAGATTAAAATTTACGAAGTAAATGAGCCGTCAAATAACGAACGCTGTCTTATGATTACATTATCAAATTAAACCAAACACTGTATCTTATTAGTGTCTTCAAAGTTCACTAAAATTTTGGCAAATTCTCTATTGTAAGGTGATGAATCAAGGATCACCACTTTCCCTTGCCTCTCCCTCACAAACCAAGATTACGCTGCCGAAGGCAAAACTCTCGGTTGAGTTTCTCAAAATATCACGTATGCAAATATTTGAATGGCTCACCACTCCAGGCTAGTGTGATTTTGCATCTAACTTTTCGATAAAGGAAAAGAGTTACGATTGTTTGGACCACGAAGATCTCGAAAGATCAATGACATTAAAGTAAGTCTTGTAAATTACGCGTCACGCGCTTATAAAATAGCACATCACGCATCATGTTGTGATGTCCGGTTCCGCATCACGCGGATAATTTGGGTTCAATCACGCATCACCCTGCAAATTTTGGGGCCATCACGCGTCACTCAAAAATCCATAGCCTCCCTCGAAAATCGGCAAAGGCAAGCGAAGAAGAAATCGCGCTATGAGGTAAAGGAATTAAAGAGAATCTTGAGAGAGGCGTTAACACAACAAGAAGAATTCAAGGCGCGATAAAAGCCATAGACCTCGAAGAGAAAGAGCGAGAGGCGAAAGAGAAACGTTTTAGCGGCAACTACTCGAGCAAAGAGAAGAATTCGAGAAAGTACTTGACCACGAGAAGGAGACAGAAATTGATCTTTCAGAATTATTGGACATAATTGTAATGAAACCCTTTGGTGCTCTTTGTGGCTACCTTGAGAGGAAATTCAATATTCTTGATTAAAAAAAAGGATCTGGACTTCAAGGAGACACATCATCTACATTAAAATGCAAATGAAGTATCTCCTACTCTTGTAAACAGTATTCCTTCTGAGCAAGTGCCTGTTCTTCCAGTGAAAAGAAAACTCTCAACTCTAACTGACAGTGACTGTGCAGCAAGTTTTTGAGCAAGTGGGAAGGGGCTATTTTTGGCTCCGTTATTTCAGTTAAAATCATTTTTTGCTTAATTTATTTTTATTTTTGCAAAAGATTGATTATGATACAGGAATATGATACCGGATTATGATACAGGATTATGAAAAAGAGCTCTCATGGAGATTTACAACCGATGGGCCTGTGTATTCAAGTCCTTTTGTAGCCATGATTGAGGGAAGTATGTCTTGTCACACAATGTGTAACGCAAGGCCTTGTGATGGGCATGACACTCAATTAGCAGTGTTTGCTTTGTCAAGTGTTGGAAGCCTGTATATTCTGGATTTTTATTCAGGAGTTCTTATAGCTTTGTATTCATTGCCTGGTGAAGTATTTTCTTCATCTGTTGTGTTTGACAATCAAATTCTCATTGGCTGTAGGGACAACTATCTCTACTCACTTGGAATATTAACCCTTTAACTCCCCAAGATCTCATTAGTAATTCTCCTTACTGTCTGCCATATAGTTCTTATGATGTTAATTTGGAGAATTTGGTATTGGATCTACTAATAATTCCTAATTAATATTTTTTTATTCTCATCACTTTTCTGCCTGATATTGTATTGATATTGTATGGAGAAATTCTGTCTTGGTCACTTGTGGGAGTTAAAGGGTTAAATGAAACTGAAGAGTAAGTAGTAACAATGTTGATTATAAAAAATATTTTTATTTTCTTTTTACTCATCTAAAAATACAGCTAGATTTTCATTTTAATTAGTTCCCAGACTGAATTATTTTTTCTGCAGACTTAAGACTGAATATATTTTATATTACAAAGTTGAATTACAATCAGAATTATCAATATTGCTATTTTACGTCTGTTATTTGACTTAATTGCTTTAGTTAACCAGTTTAAATATAAAAAAAGAAAATTTAACTAAGATAAACTATATGAAAAAAAATTATTCTAGTTATTGCATTTCCAGTGGCACATAAGAATATTCTATTATCAAATTCTCTACCTCAAGCAGCTATTCATCTTAAACTTAAGTGCAAGTCATTATTGATCCCTTGGGGGGAAGACTGGGAGGATTTTGGGGATCACATGGTGTTTTGGGGGAGTGGAGGTGGATCAGTCATCGCTGACAGAGTATAAAAGGGGATTATAGAAAATTTACTGGCAATGAGGGGGATCATTAGAATACTACAGAGCCTTAGGGGGGAGGGGAGCAATGGCTTCCCCTTCTTCCCAGCCCTCTATCCCCCACCCCCCTAAGGTTATGGATAATGAGTAGTCCCTGATTTGCCAATTTCAGCCCTGGTATTCCTACAGTAAATGATTGTTGTGACAAGAGAAGAGTTGGGTATTAAATTTTTACAACTTTCACTCCCTGGCCGGTAAATTACTTTTTCATTTCCTCGTTTGACTGACCTTGATCAATAGAAAAGTTACAATTAAAGAAAAAAAATCCGCCTCCTCTTAACGTTCCGTGCCGTGTCGCAGGTCATCTATAGCACGCTGTACGTTACGTAACTTATTCTGAATACCCCTTACATCAACATGTTTGGGACCAAGTTTTTTCAGTTCAATCTTTAAAGCTCGTTTAAAGTACACCTTGGCCTGTTCCAGGTCGCCAAATTTACGGTGTACATCACCCAAACTTTTGTAGGAAAATGCCACATAAACATGGTCAGGTTCGAGATTCTTCAACTGGATATGTAAAGCACGTTCGTATAGCTCTTTGGCCTGTTGCATGTTATCCAACACAAATTGCACATTACCCAAATGGTGGTATGAATTCGCCAAATCAACATGTTCGGGTTCAAGATTTTTCAGGCGTATAATCAGTGCTTGTTCGTGATATTCCTTGGCCTGTCCCAGATTATTCCATTTATGATGCACCATGCCTAAGTTATGGTAAGTATCCACGACTTCAAGGTGATCTTTGAGTTTACTTTCCACTGAACTCATGTTAACCAATGAAAACGCCACATAAATATGATCATGACCAAGATTCTTCACTTGGATTTCCATGGCCTCTTTCAGGTTACCCGAGTCGTACTGTACATTACCCAGATGATGGTATGAATTTGCCACATCAACGTGCTGGGGTCCAAGATTTTTTAGCTGAATGTCTAGAGCACGTTCATGATTCTCCTTGGAATTTTGAAAGTCACCCAACTCACGCTGAACCCCACCTAGTAAATTGCAAATTCTCACAAGGGCATCATCCGTGGGTCCAAGTTCTTTTAACTCAACGTCTCCAGGGTACTCACAACTCCGTATCTTCTTATCCATTTCAACCAGTTTCAAAGCTGTTTCACAGTAAACTTTTGCTCCTGAAAATTCGCGGTGATTTCTGCAAATTACTGCAAGCCTTCTGAAATATTCTGAAAATTTGAAGTAGTTGAAAACGTGTTTCTCGGTAATTTGATATTTATCCTCGTGAAGGAAGACCTTTTCAACTTCTGCAGCAAATGTATTCAAGTGTGGAATGAGATGCTCACTATCACGAATAGAGTTTTCGTTGTGCCAAGTGTGTGGTAGATGAATGTCTATGAATTGGTTGAAGGACATTACAGCGTATGCAACACTTCGAACGTGTTCATCAGGCTCCTGACACTCGTTGATTACAGATTTACTGGCTTCATGCACAACTTGATGCACACTAACAAAAATTCCACTTTCTCTCTCATCGAAGAGAAGAAGAGAGTAGCCTTGGATCTGAAGGGCAATTTCTTCTTTATCCAAATGCGGATTTTGATCATTCAAAATGTAGTTCATAAGGATGTCTAAATGCAAAGGTTGTAAAGAACACAGGGAAAGGAGTGTAAACGCGCTTTTAACAACACTGTCATTGTTTATCGCTCGTTCAATAGCCAGCTTGGTTGCGACAGTCATGGACTTCCTGTAGCTTGGGTTGGTTTTTGTTAGTTCCTTTTCAGTAAGGGCTCGCATACCTCTCTCTAGCTTTTCTAAGTACTCTTCCCATCCAAAGCTTCTGGCGACTTTACTTTCACGAACCTTTTTCATGTAAACGCCTGCACTAGCCAGCGCGAGGGGTTGGTAATCTAATGCCTTAGCGATTTTATCCTCCATTCCTTGTTGTCTTATACCAGAGACCTTTGCTAAAAAGCAACGGGCATCTGTGGGCACCATGCCTTCGCTCACTGAAATGTGAGAGACAAACGAGCTTTCAGAGGGGATGGATAAAGAGTTCTGTGTTGTGATAAGCAACTGGCCTTTCGTCCACAGGTGGTTTCCAGGCCGAGGGAGAAAATCATGTACATCACATAAACTACTAACATTGTCGACCACCAAGAGCCACGATCCGTAAAGAGGAATTTTGGTTGCTATCAAATCCTTTAGATTGTTGATTTGTTCTTCAAACTGCATATCTGTTGAGTTAAGGGTTTGCATGATAGTGTATTCAGGGCACTTGATTTGTCTTCCCAAAGAAGCGTACGATTCCAGGAGCGTTTTTGAACTTTCAGCGTTAAGAGTCATGACGAACGTGGGGGTTTTGAGGTCTTCGTTAGCTGTTTCGTAAAAGTGTTGAGCTACTAGACCGGCTAGTTGAGATTTGCCACTTCCAGGGTTACCCGAAATATATAAGTAACTCAAACCATTTTCATTTGCTTCTCTCAGCCGTTCAAGTCGTTTTGTTATTTTGCCAACCTCGCTCTCGCGAGGTGCGATTTCGTGTGATGGTTTAGGCGGAAGAATGCAGAATGAAGAAACATCACTATGTAACTGTTCCTCAAGGATATGGTGCTGTTCTTCAAGGACTTGATTCTTTTCTAAAACACTTTGAAGTTCCTCTGTCGGAAAACTTTTCTGCTTGCAGACATTTTGAATATCATTGGTTGAGAGACCAAGACACTGAAATGCGATCTTCACTTTACGAACAGCAAGTTTGAACTGTAGATCTGACAGCTGACCCTGTGGCATGTGAGCGAACTCTTCATTGCGAAATTCTCTGAGCTCATCGACATTCGAGCGAACTGCTGCACCGAGTCCGTGGCCAATGGAATCGGAGTATAGTATTGCAAAAAAGAGTGTAGTACAATCCCACTGTGCCCTATCTCTATTTTTTATCGTTTCCAGCAGACGAGCATTACGCGTTCGGCTCCGGGGAGACTCCCTGTTGTAGAAGTCCATTCCATTTTGGGGTGTATCTTTCCATTCTCCTAACGTTGCCTGGTAACGACTGTCCCACTCTTGTTTAAAAATGGATCGCAACCCTTGTGGCAGGATATTAGTGACAAAATGACAAATTCTGAAGTAATTTAATTGCTCTTTGGTGTAAACTGAGGAAGCCATGTCTTCCTTGACGTGTGATTCTTTTAATTTTCAACCCTGTTTGGAAACCATATTACATATTCAATATTGACTGAAAAGAATCCCAATTTCAACTGCTAATTACTTGCATTAAGCGTGCGAGAATAAGAAATTTCATGATAAGTTCACTTTGGGATTTTTTGCAAGGCCTTCATGGTTGTACTTACTCATTGAATGCAAACATACGAGAAATTAAAGAAATCGGATGACTGCGAAGTGGAAGTTCGATTTGTCAATCGCGAGTGTGATTACAGATCAAAATTGTCGACGCGAAAACCTCTTACCAAGTAATTATAACCATTTCAATTTCCGAGAAAAAAAAATGTATTCATCAGAAAAAGGGCTTATAATTACAATCTTTAAACGCTGAAGCATTACAATCTTTGAGAAATACAAACTGACCAGCTCCAGAAACAGTTTCCTACAATTATTGTAGGAAATCACTCGCTTTGGATAGTAGGATGGTAAGATTACTGTTTTCAATTCTGCGAACCAAATGTCCGATGACACCTTTTCAGATATATTAGTAAAAACCAGTGTAGCTCATCCACCAATTACATTCGTTGAAATTGTGATCGTTATAATAAAACGGGAAAAAAAACTCTAAAACTCTCAGAACTGCGGAGTTAATTATTTTTCACTGTTAACGTTGATCTTGTAAAAGGAAACAGAGAATACCTTCGCGCTAAAAATTGAATACCATGTAATTCGTCTTGGCATCTTTGTCATCGAAAGAAAGCTTGGAAGCTTTTTTTTTTCAATTTATATAACGCACTGATCTGTATACTAGAGGTAATAGCTACGCCAGCAAGTATACTGCAAACAAGGGAGCCTCTCTGAGCTTTCCGTGGGATTGACATTGTGTGGTTACCAATGGACAAAGTGTAGAGCCTCTTTTTTTTCGCTGCTCTTCACTGATTCATGATGATTTTATCCTTCTTTACAGATAATTGCTATATCGTTGTTATTTCGGCCTTTTCAGAAATACATCAATTAAGAGACCTGTTTTGGTCAAGTGTCTTCTTCATCGTTTATCACCATAAAGTGCGTTTGATTGTCGCGTGACTCGCTCAGTGAAAGAAATACAAAAGCTTGATTTTATTTTTGATGAGCGATATATAAATATTCATACGCACTCAGTGAATTCTAAGGCCAACCTCTTTCCCAGGGTCCTCTCTCTTCCTCCTTCGCGAAAGTTTTGCACTCATTAATTAGTAGCCGTTCAAGATCCCCCCAATCCCCCTCCACAGGCAGCCCTAGCCTGGCTAAGGTGGAGAATGCAAGAGTTCTATCTATAAATATGGAGGTGTAAAAATTAACTTTCGCGAAGGATCGGCTCAAAAAAAGGGTCTACAAGATCCAGGTTTTAAAGATTGGTCAGTGTGTAAATGTTCCGGTCGCTGATTTTGTCTTTTGAAAAAAATTGGGTGGGCATTTAAACACAATGTTTTCTCGGAGGTCAAATCAATCTTCAAAAGTTCAGATGCCCGGGGATTTCAAGGGGGATATTGAAGCTTCGAAATGATCGACACGTCACTTCTCGAGGGAGAAAGAGAGAGGCCCTGGGAACGAGGATGTCTTCACGCGACCGGCTCTCGCACGCGCGTGTCTAACGCTTTTACGTCATAACCTCGAAGTTAGCTACAGTTCTAAGCTTCTCTGGAGCGTTTTGTAATTGTAAGGAGAATTTTGTTACCGATCCCTATCTAGAGTCAAATTCAAAGCATTTTCCTGCCATCTGCTCGATGTTAGCCAGTTTGTGAAACGTGAAACGTCGTCACGCATAGCATTCATTGCAGCCCAGCTGTTAGCTGCTGGTTGTCTTGTCATGCAACGCATCTCTGTCCACCACCAAGAGAAAGCGTGGCGTGACAAGACCAAACAACAGCTAATGAGCTTCTTTCTCCAGGAACGAAAAGTTTTGTTTAAGCTTTAGAAATACTTTTGTCTTCAGGCGTCTTATTTTTCGCATTTTATGTTCTCATCGTTGGGTCACGACCTGTCGGTGACGTCTGCCGGTGGTACTTAAAAATGATCTTCCTATTTAGTGGTATCTGATTACCATGAGGGGGATTTATTTTTTTCATATATGTTATAAGATATGATTATTTTCCGTCGTCACCCAAGAAGTTCCACCAAAAAATCGTGACCGTCCATACATCCCCAAAGTGAAATTTCGAAATCTTAGACATCAGGTCACAAAGTATCAAAAACAACTTAACTATTCGTTACATTAGTGTTATTGCGCAATGTAGGTGTCACGTCAGGGGTTTCCTGCATACCACGGAACTTTACTTGTCAGAACAACTCACGCGTAACGAGAGCGAGGTGCTTAGGTTGTAAATTTGAGAAGGTGAATATAAAATAGGGAACTGGAAACACACAAAGTCAAATACAGCGGAATATAACTTTTTCAACACGACTCTCACTATGTGCTTTGGAAAACGCTTATAGAAAATGTCAAATTACGATGGTGGTTGAGTTATTTAGAGAAGTCGTGATTACGAACGCTTGCATTGCGTGATCACAAATAGATAATGAATTAATCAACCTATTATTCTCAAAGAGTAGACCGCACATAATATTAACAGGATCTGTTCTTTTATCTTTTTCCTTCTTTTTTTAAAATTTTTTCAATTCTTTATTTCCTTCTATCTGTACGTGTTTATCGTAAATCTGACGGGTGATGCCAAACTCGTGGACGTGGAACACGGAACGGAAAATAAATAGTGATCTTGCTGTGAATGAGTTAGTTTCAAGTTGCACTCATGTATTAAAGCTCTGGAAACCCATTTCTCTTTTCTCATTTCTCTCCTCATTCTATTCCATTTTTGTTTTTTAATCCAACCCAGTCATTCCCGTTTTTACCCTCCGTTCCCGCTGCCTGTCATAATTTTCATATCAGTTATTCCACGTTTTCTTCGACCTTTGTATTCTCTGTTTATTTGATCTTAAAATGTACATAAATTTTAGTGAAGTTTACCATCCGATTGACAAAACGTGTTCTTTCGGCTCTAACTTGATAATACAATATAATGTTATAAAAAGCTTATTCCTTGTAATTCCTGTTTAGTCACCCGAACAAATCTGAAGGATCCCTTGTATCAACGGTAGCAACAATATCAAAGAATTCTTAACTTATCGCTTTGTTTCCATTTGATAAAATCGAAATTGGATTTATTATTGTCTAATATACATAAATGAGTTTTTTTTCAGATATTTCAGTTTGGAAACTTGTCGTGACAAGAACAGCTTATATTTCAGGAAAAACGCATGTTTTTTTTTCTAAAATAGTTCAAATAGTTGTTCTGCTTTGATAACTGTACTGAATAGTTCCCTTAAGATGTTTACTGCTACTGATTGCAAATAATGTAAGAAATGTGATAGGAAACAAACCCAATTGAATATCGAGTAATACGAATGATGAAGTGACGACTACAATACCAGTCCTTTAGGAAAAAATATATTTCGTTCCCACGGTGGGAATTCAGACATGACCAGATATGAATAATCCGTGCTGCTTGGATGAGAGATTAAAATTTACAAAGTAAATGAACCATCAAATAACGAACGCTGTGTTATTATTACGTTATCAAATTGAACCAAACACTGTATTTTATTAGTGTCTTCAAAGTTCACTAAAATTCTGGCAAATTCTCTATTGTAAGGTGATGAATCAAGGATCACCACTTTCCCTTGCCTCTCCTTCACAAACCAAGATTACGCTGCCTGAAGCAAAAGTCTCTGTTGGGTTTCTCAAAATATCACGTATGCAAATATTTGTATGGCTCACTACTCCATGCAGTCTAGTATGATTTTGCATAAGACGTTTTGATGAAAGAAAACTGTTATCGAGTTCTGAATAGTTTATTTTACGTTCTTCTGTATACATCTCATACACACTCTCTTCAAGGGAATTTTCAATTCTAAAGTACTCTTAACCCGCCACGGTTATGAACGCTTCGATTCCTCTTGAAAATTAAAGCTAATTGTATTCTCCTACCTAAATTTATGTGTTTCAAATATTTCTACTTGAAAAACCTGTAGTAACAAAACAAACCAGGATGAATCGCTATTCAAGAGAAAGCACTAGTTCTGATCTGATTTCGTTTAGAATTGTTAGGCTTTGATAACCGAAGTAGTTTATTTGAATGTACATAAAACTTGATTAAGAGAATGGAATCATCGATTTCATCGCAAATTTTAGAACAAACGCAATCATAAACGAGCCAAAGTACAATTTGCTAGTCACAGAGATAAAGTGACGATTGAAAATTCAGTCCTGATTAAGTAAATGTACATTTCCCACGAAGGAATTTCAGTCAGAAATAATTTGCGCTACCCCTTAGGATGAGAGATTGCCTGTTTTGAATTAAGTAAACGGGTCATCAACTAACAAATTCCCGCGAACTGATTGAGTGAATTAACTTTACGCGAATACTGTGTTTTGTTTGTGACATCAAAATTCCAAATTTTTTTTTGTAGCAACGTATCGCCGCCTTTTTAAGTACATTGTAAATGGCATTACCTCTTCCGGTTTCGGAAGAATGTTGACTGAAAACATCTGTTTATCATTAGCTCTTGATTAAAGAACTTTTATCAACCATTTATAAGAGTCTGTACTTACCATTTCAAATTTTACATGTTAGCCATGTTATCATCCGCATCCAAAAGAAAAGGAATTTGAGACCAACCACATCAAAGTCGACCTCAAAAAACTCGTTTGCTGTATCCCATCAATCCCTCGGGCTTTGTAACAATTTGACACAGGCAAGCAATACGTGCAAAATGGACTTTGGCTTTTAGTTTGACCTGCGAAACGAAAACCTTTTTGGGAAATTTTCGCATCTTTCTATTACTTGTGCGAGACAAAACAATTGCAGTACATCAAGAAATGAAAATAAATAAAAAGATGCCGCGCTATTTGAATCAAACTTTTATTTTTGCACCATACAAGAATACAGCACGATGTACTGTGTTTCCCATAGATTTTGAAAGGCTTTCATTTTGCAGAATGAGGATCAATTATTATATTTTGATAAGATCCCTGATGACTGAAATCTCAGCTGAGAACAAGTTTTTGCTCCTTTTAAGGATTGAAACATTTTTCGGGAAGGAAATAAATTTTTCAAAATTTACTATCTATTAAGTTATATGGCTTTGATCAAGAACATTTCCCTGCATTCTATCATATCTTACTGGAAATAAAATACAATAAAAAGCCTACCCCCTAACCTTTCTATACATAACCTTTACGTATTCATAGGCGAAAAGCGTACGGTTTGAACAAAAAAACACTTTGTTTCTTTCCTTTAAGCGGACGCTTATTTTTGCTGATCGAGTACAAATTGTGCAAAGATAAAGATCGCAAATTTTCATGTTACCTCAACAACATTTATTTGAAGGTTTTGTTAATCATGTGAGATCATGTCAATACATTTCAGCTCTTCATACTTGGGGAAAAAAGCAGAATTGGTTCTAAAACAACCCGCTTCCCCGAAAAAACTTTAAGAGTGAGCTGGATCGAGGCCGTGTAAGTCATGAGAGGCTGGCAATAATCTTCATGGCAATTGATTTTTCGAACTTCACTCACTCAGATGGTTTTGGCGTTGACATATTGTTTGAAGGTGAGAACGAGAAAGGTAAGTGTTTAAATATGCAGTTCACAGCCATTTAAATACATTTCCCTCGTTAAGGAATTAACAGTTCTGCTAAGCAACATTGGGTAGCTTTAACATACATGTAGCTCATGCATGCTCTGTTCGGTCCTGATAGAAGTAGCGATAGACTTTCATCACACATCGGAAATTTCGATCACTAGGACAATAAAAAGCTGTTTCTCGTACCTTTGTTTTGTGCTGCGAAGTTAGGTGTGCATTTTATTTCCTTCTATCTGTAAGTGTTTATCGTGGAACGGAAAATAAATGATGATCTTACTGTGAATGAGGTAGTTTCAGGTTGCACTCATGTATTAAAGCTCTGGAAACCCATTTCTCTTTTCTCATTTCTCTCCTCATTCTATTCCATTTTTTTTTAATCCAACCCAGTCATTCACCCTCCGTTCCCACTGCCCGTCATAATTTTCCTATCAGTTATTCCACGTTTTCTTCGACCTTCTCTGTTTATTTGATCTTAAAATGTATGTAAATTTTTAGTGAAGTTTACCATCCCATTGACAAAACGTGTTCTTTCGGCTCTAACTTAATAATACAATATAATGTTATAAAAAGCTTCTTCCTTGTAATTCCTCTTTGGTCACCCTAAAAAATCCGAAGGATACCTTGTATCAACGGTAGCAACAATATGAAAGTATTCTTAACTTGTCGCTTTGTTTCCATTTAATGAAATCAAAACTGGATTTATTATTATCAATGTCTGATATACATATGTAAGATTTTTTCAACTATTTCAGTTTGGAAACTTGTGACAAGAACAGTTACATGTAATCTTCGCCATCGAAGCGGCCGACAGATGAATTAGCTTATATTTCAGGAAAAACGCATGTTTTTTTTCTAAAATAGTTGAAATAGTTGTTCTGCTTTGAAAACTGCACTGAGTAGTTCCCTTAAGATGTTTACTACTGCTGATCGCAAATATTGTAAGAAATGTGATAGGAAACAAACCCAATTGAATATCGAGTAAAACGAATGATGAAGTGACGACTACAATACCAGTCCTTTAGGAAAAAAATCTTTTTCGTTCCCACGATGGGAATTCAGACATGTCCAGACATGAATAATCCGTGCTGCTTGGATGAGAGATTAAAATTTACGAAGTAAATGAGCCGTCAAATAACGAACGCTGTGTTATGATTACGTTATCAAATTAAACCAAACACTGTATCTTATTAGTGTCTTCAAAGTTCACTAAAAATTTGGCAAATTCTCTATTGTAAGGTGATGAATCAAGAATCACCACTTTCCCTTGTCTCTCCCTCACAAACCAAGATCACGCTGCCGAAGGCAAAAATCTCGGTTGAGTTTCTCAAAATATCACGTATGTAAATATTTGTATGGCTCACCACTCCAGGCTAGTGTGATTTTGCATCTAACTTTTTGTTAAAGGAAAACAGTTATCGGGTATTCCAAATGGTCTATTTTAAGGTCATCTGTGTACATCTCATACATACTTCCTACAAGGGAATTTTCAATTCTAAAGTACTCGTGACTCGCCACTGTTATGACAGCTAATTGCATTATCATACCTGAGTTAATGTATTTCAAATATTCAGTTTCTGCTTAAAAAGACTCGTAGTAACGAAACAATACATGATGAATCGCCATTCAAGAGAAAGTTATAGTTGTGACTTCGTTTTGAATTGTTCGGCTTTAATAACTCAAGTAGTTTATTTGGATGAACATACAGCTTGATTAAGAGAGCGGAATCATCGACTTCACCACAAATTTTAGGACAAATGCAATGATGAACGAGCCAAAGTAAGATTCGATTGTAACAGAGATAAAATAACGATTGAAAAGTCAGTCCTGATTAAGTAAATGTACATTTCCCACGAAGGATTTCGGTCAGAAATAATTTGCGCCACTACTTGAGATGAGAGGTTGGCTGTTTTTAATTAAGTAAACGGTAAACGAGTCGTCATCCAACAAATTCCCGTCAACTGATTAAGTAAATAAACTTTATGCGAATACTGCGTTTTGTTTGTGACATCAAAATTCAAAATTTTTTTTTTTGTGGCAACGTATCACCGCCTTTCAAAGTACATTGTAAATAGTATTACCTCTTCCGGTTTCGGAAGAATGTTGACTGAAAACATCAGTTTATCATTAGCTCTTGATTAAAGAACTTTTATCAACCATTTTTAAAGAGTTTTTTCGTCTTGTCACGAGCTTGGGACAAAGGAAAAATTCTGAGTCCCCATGAGGAATCGAACCTCAGGCCTTCGCATTTGCGCTCAAAACTTACCATCTCTAATATTTCTATCTAAAAACATGACGCTATCGAGGTTGTTGAGGCTGCAAATTTGAAAAGGTGAATATAAAATAGAGAACTGGAAACACACAAAGTCAAGTACAGCTGAATATAACTTTTTCAACACGACTTTCTCTATGCACTTTGGAGAACACTTCTAGGAAAATGTCGAATTACGATGGTGGTTGAGTTATTTAGAGAAGTCGTGATTACGAACGCTTGCATTGCGTGATCACAGATAGATGATGAATTAATCAGCCTATTATTCTCAAAGAGTAGACCGAACATAAAATTAACAGGATCTGTTCTTTTATCTTTGTCCTTCTTTTTTTTTCAATTCGTTATTTCCTTCTATCTGTAAGTGTTTATTGTAAATCCGACGGGTGATACCAAACTCGTCGATTTGGAACACGGAACGGAAAATAAATAGTGATCTTGCTGTGAATGAGGTAGTTTCAGGTTGCACTCATGTATTAAAGCTCTGGAAACCCATTTCTCTTTTCTCATTTTCCTCCTTATTCTATTCCATTTTTGTTCTTTAATCCAACCCAGTCATTCTTGTGTTTACTCTTCGTTTCCCGCTGCCCGTCATAATTTTCCTATCAGTTATTCCATGTTTTCTTCGACCTTTGTATTCTCTGTTTATTTGATCTTAAAATGTATGTAAATTTTAGTGAAGTTTACCATCCGATTGACAAAACGTGTTCTTACGGCTCTAACTTAATAATCCAATATAATATTATAAAAAGCTTATTCCTTGTAATTCCTCTTTAGTCACCCTAAAAAATCTGAAAGATCCCTTGTATCAACGGTAGCAATTGAATATCGAAGTATTCTTAACTTATCGCTTTGTTTCCATTTGATAAAATCGAAACTGGGTTTATTATTGTCTAATATACATAAATGAGTGGTTTTTTTTCAGACATTTCGGTTTGGAAACTTGTCGTGACAAGAACAGTTACATGTAATATTCACCATCGAAGCGGCCGACAGATGTATTAGCTTATATTTCAGGAAAAACGCATGTTTTTTTCCTAAAATAAGTGAAATAGTTGTTCTGCTTTGATAAATTTACTGAATAGTTCCCTTAGGATGTTTACTGCTACTGATTGCAAATATTGTAAGAAATGTGATAGGAAACAAACCCAATTGAATATCGAGTAATACGAATGATGAAGTGACGACTACAATACCAGTCCTTTAGGAAAAAATATATTTCGTTCCCACGGTGGGAATTCAGACATGACCAGATATGAATAATCCGTGCTGCTTGGATGAGAGATTAAAATTTACAAAGTAAATGAACCATCAAATAACGAACGCTGTGTTATTATTACGTTATCAAATTGAACCAAACACTGTATTTTATTAGTGTCTTCAAAGTTCACTAAAATTCTGGCAAATTCTCTATTGTAAGGTGATGAATCAAGGATCACCACTTTCCCTTGCCTCTCCTTCACAAACCAAGATTACGCTGCCTGAAGCAAAAGTCTCTGTTGGGTTTCTCAAAATATCACGTATGCAAATATTTGTATGGCTCACTACTCCATGCAGTCTAGTATGGTTTTGCATAAGACGTTTTGATGAAAGAAAACTGTTATCGAGTTCTAAATAGTTTATTTTACGTTCTTCTGTATCCATCTCATACACACTCTCTTCAAGGAAATTTTCAATTCTGAAGTATTAAAGCTAATTGTATTCTCCTACCTAAATTTATGTGTTTCAAATATTTCTACTTGAAAAACCTGTAGTAACAAAACAAACCAGGATAAATCGCTATTCAAG